CTGGAAAATATGTGACCCTGGACCACAAAACCAGTCATAAGGGTCAATTTTTCAAAATTTAGATTTATACATCATCTGAAAGCTAAATATAAATAAGCTTTCCATTGATGTATGGTTTGTTAGAATAGGACAATATTTGGCCGAGATACAACTATTTGAATATTTAAATTTGAATATTTGAATCTGAGGGTGCAAAAAAATCGCCTTTAAAGTTGTCCAATTGAAGTTCTTAGCAATGCATATTACTAATCAAAAATTAAGTTTTGATATATTTACAGTAGGAAATTTACTAAATATCTTCATGGAGCATGATCTTTACTTAATATCCTAAAGATTTCTGGCATAAAAATCGATAATTTTCACCCATACAATGTATTTTAGGCTATTGCTACAAATATACCCCAGCGACTTAAGACTGGTTTTGTGCTCCAGGGTCACATATTAATTTGCATTAACTTGACAGCACATCCTATTTTTCTACTCAGTTTATTTGTTAAATTTATGTATTAAATTGATTTGTCTAGAAATACAAATACATTTTTACAAATACAGCAAATGTTGTAAAATGTCCACATAAATAAATACACAAGGTCCATGTTCAACTATTTTTCGGCATTTCAGCATGTAAAAACCAAAACTTTTTTTTTCCCAAGAACTTTGTCCAATCTAATGAATACTAACTGACCTATTATGCAAAAATGAGAACAAGGTATAACATGTTGGATTTTAGTGCCCTATACAAAATACTGCTGACTTCTCCAGTTTATTTATTGTGTGTGTGTGTGTGTGTGTGTGTGTGTGTGTGTGTAAAGAAATCACTACTATTGGATTTAGAAAAAGAGAGTGACTGTGTGGAATGACTTATTAATGAAGTTTTTAAGTCCCAAGTAATTCCTCTCTTTCCGCAACCACAGAGAGAGTCTGTAGGGGATCTATTATTCAGTCAAATTAATGAAACAAAAGTGCAAGGATCAGGTAGCCTGAGACACAGCATCGCGTGTTCTTGTTTAATAAATGTCCCCTGAAGCCTGATGGGAATGAGGGAGGTGAACAGGGCCTCCGAGAGGCCTGCTATAAGTCCGATTCTCATCTCGACTTTTACACATCCTCTGCGCCTCTGATTCACACTCTTTTTTTAAAGTGCTCACAGCTCCAGTTATTGTCGCTCCCCATCCCCGCTTTCATCAGTATCTCCCTCTCCCGTTTGATTGAGACAGTCTTATGGTTTTCCACGAATACCCTCCGCCACGTAGTCTGCCGCCCCCACACACCGAGGCTTTCATTAAGAATGCATCTTACAAAAAGCACAATGCAATTATTGAACCGTGGCAATACCAAGGCCTCAATCTTTAGATTTCATTTGTGAGGAAAGCAAGGCAAGTTCCCAACGGTCCAACTTAGATTCATTTAGGGTTGGAAGATTCACTTTTCAAAGCCCAGTGTAGCTGCTCTTTTGAATAATGGATGCAAACAGGAGGAACTTGTCAACAAATGATAACAACGTTGGACTGATTCTTGCGGCAGATGATCGGAGAAACAGCTATAAAGTGAATGTATTACCATTCATTTTGATGCACCTGGGTGTCTGTTGACTGTTTTGCCTGACTGGAACAACTATAAAACTGAATAGATCAATCTCAGCTTACAAAGTTGCAATCTTTAGTGGTAAAATGCAGATAGAGCATTAAAATTTATGATGCAAACAGAAAATGTCTGAATACTGCCTAAGATTATTATTAAACACTGTACTTGGTTTCATAGGTATGTAGTGTGTCCAGGCATTTTTGAAACAATAAAACAAAACAAAACAAAAACCAATTGGAAAACAGTATTAATTAAGCCAACCATCTCCAAATATGACAACAAGACCTTCCTATAATACAAAGGCAGCTGTTTGCTTTCAAAATGTAATTATTGACTTATATATTGTCATTGTACTAAAACCAAAAGATCTGATTAAAATAACAGGAAAAATATTTATTTTGCATTAACTTGATGGTGCATCACATTTTTCTTCCTAACAGCTTAATATTGCATGTATAAACCTGAAAAGAAACATTTAACATTTTAATTCAAATGTATTTATATAGCTTTTTTTTTTTTTTACAATAAATATTGTTCTATACAGGAAATATTGCCTTACAAAACCTCAGTGAGCAATCCAAAGATGATACAAAGATACAAAAAGTATCTGCATTGTTTTTTTTTCAAAAGCATACTGTATGCAGATGTTTTTCTTTCTTATAAAAATTATGGTCTTATGGTCAAAAAATAGCCTAATTCATCTCATTAAATTTAACACTAATATATGCAATGTGTTTAATGTGTTAAAATCAATAAACTCTCTTAACATATCTAACAAACCTTTAAACTATTTATTTTTATTTCAAACTTTCTGCAGACCCTTTAGCAACTCCTTGTGGCTCTCAGTTTTTTTATTCATATATAAAATATTTTAATATTAAATATATTCATATTAAATTTAATTAATCAGATGTTTTTCTTTCTTATAAAAATTATGGTCATCAATAGAAAAAATAGCCTAATTCATCTCATTAAATTTAACACTAATATATGCAATGTGTTTAATGTGTTAAAATCAATAAACTCTCTTAACATATCTAACAAACCTTTAAACTATTTATTTTTATTTCAAACTTTCTGCAGACCCTTTAGCAACTCCTTGTGGCTCTCAGTTTTTTTATTCATATATAAAATATTTTAATATTAAATATATTCATATTAAATTTAATTAATATTTAATATTCCTGCTCTTAATCAAGGTTTACACAATTGTAGGATTTGCAAACAAAATGACACTAACAGACAAATTACAATATGCAAAACAATAAGTCAAACTCACCTGCAATATGTACTAACTAATTATGTGCAATTCTGCCACTAGTCTGTGTTGACTTTTGTTGCACTTTTTCTTTACATGGTGATAGGAGGAAAACTGTCCACAAACTGTATTAGAGTAAGTGCATGACAATACCTTTGTATAGTGAAATGTAACCGCTAAATATATTTATGATAAAATGAAAGCGAAGAGAAAGTGAAACCGGACCATTTTGCATTCAGAAAGCACATTATAAGCAAACTGCTTAGATCTAAAATGGTCTAAGTTCATTTGGAGTCCTAACATACAAATCAACATTCCAGAATCTAATCAAGTATCATCTAGAATATTAATGCTTCCCTGGCTCAGAATATCCTAAATTTTGAACATTCCATTTGATCCGTGCTTTGCCTAATTTATGTCCCAGGCAAAGGAAAAAAGAAAAAAGTAAGAAATAATAATTCAAATCCAGGTCACTCAAGCTGTATAAGCCCAAGTCTTACATTACAAAGATTCATTGCCAAGCATTACTGTCCTCACAGCTCTCGCTCAACTAGGCTTTCATTACTTAATACTGTTCACTCAAGAGAGACACCTTCAGAGAAATCTGCAAATGAAACGACAGATGAATCAGAGCTAAGCCTCTCTCCTGTCCCTCCTGCTCTTTAAAGGAAGCTGCGTTACAACTGCAGTTCGGTGAACACATTGATTTTACACAGTGGAGGGGATGGGCACTCATTCACTTGGGTGAAGGGGTGGAATGAAAGATTATTTTATGATTAATTAGGCAAAGATGCAGACTAATCAAAAAAAAAATCCCAATGTGCAGTTTAAAGGGATAGTTCAACCAAAAATGAAACTGTGATTCTGCGGGAAGGAAGATGTTTTCGGTTTGGGGTGCTGTGTGTGTCCGTGTTGGGTGAAAGAGGGGCGGGGGGGGGGTGGGTGAAAGGGGGGCGGCGGGGTCACCTCATTTGACAACTCCACAAAGCACTACAAGTGCGTCGATATGAACACTCGTTTAAGAGGCATACACACTTGGAAATTTGACTGCATATCACATTTTTGAAATGATCGATAGAAGCTGATCAATCTCTGGGGTTGGGCTGGGTCCGCTAGGCTTACTTGTCTCCGTGCTCGTGCTGGAGCTGGTTCACTTACGTCGGTGCTCGTGCTGGGGCTGGTGTTGGATGCCTATTTTGGAAAGTTTTTGCTGGGATGGCCATTTTAAAAAATCTGAAATTCCCTTTTGCGCCATTATCTCCTTGTATTAAAGTTAATCTTGTTCGCATTCTGTACAGTTCATGTCTGATACCACGCGCCAGCGTCACGTGTTCATGAGGATTAGGCTAATCATCCCGAAAACATCACAAGTAAAATTAATCATGTTTATAAAGATAAACATGGGTTTGTTATAGCCCACTTACAATTTACATTTCAGAGATCATTACAAATACATTATTAAATGCTAAAACTGAATAAATTTAAATGAACAAACTTGCCGTTGCATTTGCAACCATGTGAAAACAGGGGGTGCTGCAGCCCCCTCAGCACCCCTACTTCCCGCGTCCCTGATCACATCTCACAGCTGATTTGTTCTCTCCTGTATCGGCAGCCAATGAGCTCACTGCTCAACATTCAAATATGTAGCTTATGTTTGTGGTAGCAGTTTGCAGCGCACTCCAGAAACCCGCCACCTTCCCCAGCTCCACCTGTATACATCATGCTCACAGCAGCATGTTGTGGATGTATTGGCAGTAGCAAGTCTCGGTACTTGCTCTGCCGCAGCAGCAGCAGCGTAGCAGATCTATTCTACCAAGATCAAATGCATTAACACTGTCATGTACATTACCATGAAAATCAATCAGATAGTTGTCATGACAGAACTGTGTTTGTTCAGTCTAAAACAACATTCGACTCCACTAACTTTCATTGTATGGACAAAAATTAAAACACTAAGACATTTTTCAAAATATCTGCTCTTGTGTTCCACTGAGGAAACAAGTTTTGAAGACATGAAGGTGACTAAATGATGATGGAATTTTCATTTTTAGATGAACTATACTTTTAGGTATGTCCCTCAGAGTGTGTGTTGCTCCTGGTGTCAGACTTTCTACATGAGCTGTGTGAAGTACAGACTCATGTCAGTGTGGTGGTGTACCTGTATCTGGGTCACACTGATGTTCACATGGGTCCAAGAGACGGCGGCCACACAGATCATTGACCCAGGTGCCACTGGCATTCTGCTGGTAGTACAGCAGCACCTGGGCAGGGTTCAGCCAATCAGATGCATCCAGCTGGCTGCCCTGGAGCAGAACGAATCTGGAGCCTGACAGAGAAGAATCAGAGAGGACATTTGTTAAAATTTACATCAAGTAAATTAGTGAACTCTATTAGTTGGTGTTCAGAATATAAACTGGAATCTACAAATGGAAGCTACAACTGGTATGCAACTGTGGTACAAAAATGTTGGGCAATTTGCTATTTTGTCATTGAGCAAAATAGAACTGTAATGGTGGGGATTTTGATGCATCACATTATTTGAAACTATTCACCAAAGATTTGTTCCTATGTCTTATAAGTGAGTCACTAGCCGGGTTTCCATCCAAAGTTGTGAATTTAACTTATGCGCAAAATTGGATTGTTGCATAAAGAATTTGCGAATAAGCACCGTTTCAAACGAGTCAAAGAAAACACAATTGTCACTTCCTGATAAACTGGCACTAAATATCACTAAGAAAAGTGAGAGAAGCTACTTAATATAATAATTTTCATGTATAATAAAATGACTTGCGCCTCTGAGCGAGCAGATGAAACACAATAAATGTGGTCATTGCTTTTGTAGGCGGATGCCTGATGTTTGGGAACGCAGTCATGTAAGAAATTTCTGTGGGCAGTTATACAGAAATACTTTGACGACACTTTGCTCGGCATTTCAGAATGACCATAACAATATTTCAGATGCTGTGCAACGAGATCACTGGTTAGTCTGGTTATGCCGTCCCATAGCGCAAATCACATGACTTTTTTGATGTGCATGGAGGAATTTATTTGGCAAATGTGTTTCCATCTCCCATTATTCGCATTAACCCTTTTTCGCACAAGACAAAAAACACCTCAATCGAGCATAAAAACTTTTTTGCGAATTTAAGGATTTTTTAAAAATTTGGTTTCCATCACTCGTTTCTCATGTGAAACCTTCAAAAAGTGCATTAAAAACATTTATTCAACTGATTCATTAACGAAAACACTCTAATTGTATGCTATACCATTTGTGTTAAATCAACAGTACTAACAGACTTAAGAAAGAGTGTTTAAGCAACATGATCATTTTTCCCCAATAACTGCTAGGCATAAAACTGTTTTGAACTTTTTAAAGCAAAGCAGAATCCTTATAGATGAAATGATATGCTTTATACACATTTTTCTATGTTTTATGGTTCATGCACAGCTGTGGATAAGATACAACAGTACAGATAAAACATCTGAACTGAAAGTGTGATGTATTCTGAATTATGCCTCTGAATATTTCAAAACCATGAACGCCACATAGAACAGAATTTATTCTGCAGAAATCAAGTTTTATCAGATCTGCCTTGACATCAGGTTTTACCCTGTAATAGTGTTAGACAGTTATAGACACATCTTAAATCAGATTTTTCCAATTCAAAAGGCGAACTGTGAATCCTTCAAGTCTCCTATTTTCAGATTTCTTCCACTTAGACATCTATGTGAATGTTAATCTACCCTAAAGCACCAGACCCAATAGAAAAGAGCTCTGCATGAAAGACAAAATGACAGATGAGCAAAGCCAGTCACAATCCATCATATCGCCCAAACTCTAGAAGTGATGGCTGAAATGCCAATGAGCTGAAAGAAAGAGAGCGAGGAAGAGCAAGAGAAGCGAGGGTAAGAGAGAGTGGCCTGTAGTCTTGGACTGCAGGTGCAACATTGAAATTCAATACAAGCTCATCCAACACAAACGCAACTTAGGTCCAAAGCACAGAGAACCCTTGGGGAAAGCGGCTAGTTGTTGTTTACAGTTGTGTACAAGTGTGTGTCTGGAAGTGTAGGTCTAGGGACTAACTAACTAAAAGTAGCACTACTAACTTAACTAAATTTTTCATATGAAAAATAATGTTGCTTTTTCCAGACACTAGCTACTTTTTTCCAACAAGTAGCAGTATAGCGTGACAAAATGCTACATCACAGTTTCTCTCTCTCTCTCTCTCTCTCTCTCTCACACACACACACACAGCCAAACAGTCTAAGGAAATAATCAATCAATAGTCTTTTCTCCCATACAAACTCCCAGTTGAATCAGTCTGTTCGGATTCAGTGATTCATGTACTGATGGTTCAATAATGATTAATTTGAGTCCCTGTGCAGTCACTTTTGAAGCAAAATTTTTATTTAAACTGCAGTTTTAGTCAACATGTTTTCATTTTTCGTTATTTCTAGTTTTATTGATTTTAACTAAAACTATGAATTATAGGGTTAAAATTTACTTTTATTCAATAGATACACTATCATTAAAATACATTCATTTTCAAAGGACATCTTTTTTTTAAAGCTTCTTAATACCGATTAACTTGACTCCACAATGGTTTAAAATATACTAAATATATTTTATTTTAACATTTTTTATTTGATACATACTGTACATTTATAATATAAAAAAAACATGAAATATCACTTCAACTTCAAAGTCAGAATTGACTTTGTGTTAAAGATCGCAATCATGTCAAGAATTAGCCAAATTAGCCAAGTGCATAATGAAATGGTGACAGGAATGTGCCACAGTGTTTTTTTGTTTTGTTATTCTAGTGGTTTAGAGAGGAATAAAATCAAATGCGCTTTTTAGTCCGGTGCCCTGTTGCACCCTAAAATCTAATATTTTGTATATATACAAATGTATTGCCTCCTTCAAATAGATTCAATGCATTTTTATAGTAACTTGTAGTGTTGCTAACTACCTTCAATCTGAAGTCAGCTTCACTGTAGCTTATCTGCTAGAATAATGAAAAGGTAGTGGACAAATGTGAGCCCATCAGCCCATGTGTGAATCCTTTTTAGTATTTGTAAATGTAAAAATATGAAAGTAGGGTTTTCATAATAACTTGTCATCACAAGCTAACATGTTAAAGCTAACAGCAACACCAAATGAAACCAAATGTTTGTCTGAAAAACGTTTATGTTAAAATTAAAAAATAAACCGTAATGTTTCATTTGACTCTTTAAAAATTCATTCACTGGTTGCCCAAGTACACAGTGTACAGTGCAACTACATGGTGTATAGCCTAGTACATGATTTGAAACACAACTAGAGACTATGCATTCCGTGTCTGATTGTTCTATGAAGCTTTCAGCACACATCTGTTTGGCTTTTCACTAGAGACAGAGCGAGAGTCGGCATGACATTTGCTTTAATACAGTAGAAGTCGACGGGGGGCCGAGGACCCCCGCTGCTCAGGGGCCGGACGGGAAGCAGAGCGGGTGATGAGATTACCGTCTGCAATGAGGTGCTCCGGAACATGGAGTATGACTCTGACGTTGAGGCTACAGGAGAGGTGAGATGTGCAGACCAGGCCGATCACACAGCTCACCACGCTGATCAAAGTCAGGGTGGTCTTGTTGATAGGACTCCGTGGGGAACCTGGGAAGAAGACAGAAAGAGAGAGAAAGCTATAAAAGAGCGATGCTACAAGACTGGAAAGTTCACATTTTTATGTGTACCTTGGGAAGGCACAAGGGAGGCAGTTAAAAAAACAGCCCACATCAGGGTTGGTGGTCCATGAAAGGAGCACTGGATCAAACCAGCCAGCCAAACTCTGGGAGCTGCGGCAGCGCTGGCATGAATTGAGCAGCGGAGAGATAACGCTTTACCTTTTGAAGCCTGCTGCTTTTATGCTAAATACTGCAAATGGCAAAATATGAAAAAGAGATGTTTTGACCACGTTTTTGTAATACAGCCAAACTGGTTTGATGTTGTGCTGCCCTGTGCATCTGTTACATGTAAAATAAAGGCACAAGACACTGCAAATGGTGTATGACTATTATACAACACACAAGATGACATAAACACACCCATTCACAATGTATGAGGACATAATACTCATGATCAGATACTATATAAAGTAGCTCATTAACATGAGTGACATTTAAAACTGCTAATAACATGTTAGGATAAACATATAGCATGCAGTAATTGGAAACAGCAATGAAATACATATGAAAGGAAATCAGATGATGATACATATATGGTGACAAAAGTCAATATACAAGTGACAACAACATATTTACACTGATTATATACAGCATATGAAAAGGAGTAACTAAGGAGTTACAAATGACATCTGTGTAGACGCTTAGCATTACAGTAATGCTGCAGCACGTTGACTACAAAAGGAAGAACCCCCTTTTTGCTATATTAAAGCATACATACTTAAGACATCATCATCTTAAGTGTGGATGTTATCTGAGAGATATTGCATAAAAAAACAGAAGATTGACATTTGAAGAAATTAAATGATCAAAGAAAACAGAAGGCATTGATTCAAACATTTGCACACATCTGCCAGAAATATATGCTTTTTATGGGAACTGTATTCATGTAAATAATGTATTGATGTATGCTATGGGAATTGGTGCTTTTGCATTTTGTTAGTTTGACATAGACACAACTTGACTTGGTCCTCACTGAGGACCACATTTTCAAGGACTAATTACAGCAAAACTATTTTAAAATAATTCATTTTTAGATAAGAATATAATCTGGCTTTTTGTCCCCTGGCCTCTGTCCTTTCTGTAAGTATTAGAAGATAGCTCAAATTGTCAAACTAAGAGATAAATGCCAGCATAGCATTAGAACATAATGTGTATGTATTTATAAATGTAACATTTAAAAGTAATATAATACTTTTATTTTAAATTATTACTTAATATATTATATTATTATAATATACACAGTGGTTTATAATAATATTTTTGCAATAAAATTAATTGGCACAGCTATTACAGATTACTTATACCTTCACGTCACTCAAATATGACAGTTCATATTAACACCTATTTTTTTCTTTAATTTAAACGTACGCAAACATGTCTATCAAAATCAACACGCCGCTCTCGCCCAGTCACAGTTCCTGCAGCGATGTAGGGGGAAAATGCGACACAAGCCATGTCTATTATTAACTTAAGTCCAATTAAAGGTGTTGTTGCTACAGCTGACTAGTAGTGTTTTTGACAAGTACAGGGTTTAAACATTTGGTAATTAGAGGGAGAAAGTATTAAAGCAAAGTGATTTTCTGTTAGTTTCCTTTCAAGTGGCAGCTCCTCAAGAGTTTAGGGAGCTTTGCATTCATTCTGTTCTCGTCAGAAAACAATGCAGCGCTCCTCAGGGGACAATGCAAGAGTTTTAGACAGATTCTAGCCATTAGTGTCTGACAGTACTGTCCAACCGGTTTGTCATACGCTGCCTTAAGTGCTTTTTACACATTTACGCCGCTTAATGTTGAATGGTGGTCTACAGATGGAGCTGCTAAGCTTAAGGTGCTTAAATACGTGTAAGCTTGCATTTAGTCATTATTTGTTTCAGAGGAGGTCCATGGAGTCCACAAAGAGGCTCTGAAGAATTCTCTAAGCAAACTCAAAAATTGTAAAAAAAAATTTACAAGCATTTATGCTTTCCTGTAAATTGTTTTAACACAGTTTTCAACTGCAATGTCAAATCAATGGCAAATCTCACACGTAACGAACGACATGCCTCGTTCAGTGAGGTAGTTGTAAGGCAAGCCGCTTCACAACTACTGCTTTATTCGGTTTCCGAACAAAGTGTGACAAACACCAAATGGCCACAGTCAGGCGGTGTAGGTTGAAATCATGCGATGGTGTGGAAGTCCTCCTTACCCCCGGAGCCCCACGCGGTGTTGACGTTACCGTTTCTCATACCTCGACTGCGACGGCGGCTGCGGTTTGGGTCAGTGTAGAAGGTCAGCTGCGGCTCACTGTCCGCCTCCGTCCCAGAGTCTCCGTCCGGGTTCAGGAAAGTTGAACCCGCTGTAGAATTCACACAAAAAAATCATCCATCAACTAATTCATCAAAAAAAAAAATGTAGTCGAGTTTTGAGACAAACTGTTATGTCCCAGTGAGTGCTGGGCCTGTGTTTTTTCTTGTTTTGTTTTTGGTTTACAGGTATACTGGTTATTGTGGGTGTCTTCTCACCTGAGGCTTATTATGCGGAGCTATAAAAACTGCAGCACTGATGTGGACGGGGGCACGATGTTTGCATACAGTTCAGACCTTGAGCTTACAGTCCACTGTCATGCACGCTTACATCACTGACTTGCATTAATACTGACTACTGACTGTTGGAACTCCTTTGTTAATTACGCTTTTGTTAAATAAACTACTGTTCTTTGCTACTTGCTCGTCCGTGTTGGCTCTCATTCATGTTGCAAGTTGGAGCCGGTTGTAACATACATGCAGAATAACCTTCAAGTTATTCTGCGTGTAAAATAACCTGAAGCAATTTAGATAAAAAGTATGCTGGTCTTAATAACGAAAAACATCAACATTAATTATTGACTGACTATCCAATTACAGTAAATGTTAGATTATTTCAAAGTCAGTTTAGAAAGAAAATAATGATTTTACCGAAGACATACAAGATCATTTCCAAACACAATGTTATTCTGAGGTTTTGAAATTAAACAAATATGACAGCATGACAATAGGATGATTTTTTGTCTAATTGCCAATCCCTTTGTTTACTTATCTAGCAGTATTGATTAATACAGCAAGTAATTATAAAGACTGCAAACCACAAACAACAGATTCATTAGAAATATCAAATTGGAAAGCCATGTGATTCTGTTAATGAGGGAAAATCTAACAGATAATGCAGCAAAACCACAGCAAAAACATTTGCTATTTAAGTTACAATTGCTAAGGCCCTTTACACTACTGTTCAAAAATGTCAATTTGGGGAAAGTCTTTTTTTTTTTTTAAGAAGTCACTTATGCTCACCAAGATTTTTATATATATATATTTTTTTTTCTTAAAAATACACTTAAAAATCCTTGCTAAATAGAAGCATTACTTTCTTGAGAACAAAAAAATAATAATAATAAACCCCAAACTTTTCAACAATAGTGCATGTAAAGAAATCATGTTAGATATCAATCAAAATGTGTTTATTATTGTATATTGTATTGTATATTAGTGCTGGGCAATGATTAATCGCGATTAATCACATCCAAAATAAACGTTTTTGTTTATATAATATATATGTGTGGTACTGTGTATATGTATTATGTATATATAAAGACACACATACAGTATACATTTTGAAAATATTTACATGTATTCACATTTATATTATATATAAATATATTTAAAATATAAACATAACATATTTTTCTTAAATATATACATGCATGTGTGTGTATTTATATATACATAATAAATATACACGGTACACATACATATATTATGTAAACAAAACCTTTTATTTTGGATGTGATTAATCGCGATTAATCATTTGACAGCCCTAATTGTATTGTTATTAATATCTTTAAAAGAACATCTTTAAAAAGACTAATCCTTGTCATAACGCTAACCCTAAAATGTATATTTATATATATTTTTTATATAATACATTTGATCTATTTATTTAGTAGTATATTTACATTCAAATAATTTATATTATATTTAAATATATTTAATATATAAACAACATATATTTCTTAAATATATTCATGCATGTGTGTGTATTTATATATACATAATAAATATACACAGTACACACACACATATTATGTACACACAAACTTTTTTTGGGGTGTGATTAATCGTTGTCTAGTATTAGTTTATATACAAAAACATGAATGAAATGATGCAACGAATGACATACAATGATAATTCAAAATACAACAGTTGAAAATAAATATAATAGTGTTTTGACACAAAGCACTTATACTATAATAAAGTCTACAAAGCATTAAAATAAATGATATATAAAACCCATTAGAGACTGTATAATTGCAAACATACATCAAACACAGCACACACCAAAGTGACATTCAGAGAATAAGCCAGAAGTAATACAGTAATCGCCGTTCTGTGAAATGCGCTTCTCCTCTCAGAAGAGTATTGGGTAAATATAAGTAATGAACAGGAGGTTAGGAGTGTGACTGAGATAAGAGATGCACGCTTCCTTGGGCTCTTTTTTCGCCGTGCACAAAAGACACAATTTACCCGTCAGAGCTAGACAAACGCTTTCATTATGCAGCGAGTGAGGAAGAGATGCATAAGTGTACTGACCCGTGGATTAGACCGACTTGCGATGATGAGAAATAATGTTTGAGTTACTCCGTATTCACACAACAGTGTGGGCTATTCATTAAAAACATCTTCTCTGGTGCAGAGGAGAATCAAACAATTATCATTTATAGATGAGCCATCTGTACGGAATGAACTGAACGATGCTTATGACAATTATGACAATATCATTTCATACCGCCATAAAACAACACATGAAATATTCAAAGCTGTGATGCAAACAAGACACAGGCGGGTCACGAGAACAGCAGGAGTTGTTTGGCCCTACAGTGAAATCACAAGTCTTAAAAGAGCACAACTCTGAAAGTAGGCATTTTATTTTAGCACATCACCACATTACAGTGATATTGAATGACAAATCAAATGATTCATAAATGAAAGTGTAAAGATGGATGAAAAATACATAAACAATGTGAAAAGCCAGTTGTCCTCAATATGTCTTCTAAAAACATCTACGCTGTCAAAATGATTTTACAGTAAATATTTTGGGAAGAATTCACTAAGAATTACAAATTTCGATGTTCATTTGTATGTGCTGTCTGCACTGTTGATGAAAATAAGGTGAAATAATGCTACAATAATGCTATGAAATATATATATATATATATATATATACATACATACATACATACATACATACATATATATATATATATATATATACATATATTTCATAGCATTATTATAACATTTCACCTTATTTTCATCAACAGTGCAGACAGCACATACAAACGTAAAAATACGTTACGTCAGTCGTGTCTGATGAATTGGGATCTCGCCCGAGAGCCCAATCACCTTTGAGTGTTAACTAAACAAGCCAATGACAGTTCGCCACTCGCACCCTGCCCCGCAGCGCGGGTATAAAAGGTGAGCGCGTGCAAACGCACATCAGTTTTTCGCTGAGGAGCCGAGACTACGTGCCCCGGCCGTACAGCGGTGGTACAGCAACTGTGGCGACGGAACGTAACGTCTCCGTTCCCTCCTTCAGGGAATGAGGGTTACACAAGTAACCGAAATGTTCCCTTTCAGTCAGTCACGTTCGACGTTACGTCAGTCTTGACTGACGAATTGGGATCCGTATGGAAAATGCCACTATTGCCAACCCGGAGTCCAGGAAGCGATGCTTGTCGGCCTCCCTCATATACGCCAAGGTCAGCCATAGGTGGCGCTCCTGGACCACCAATGTGGACATCGTCTGACCCAGGGCCCGCGCCGTGACTTTCGTTGCCCTAAGCGCGAGGTCCGTCGCCGTGCGCAGTTCCTGCAGCACACCTGGGTCAGCACCACCCTCGTGCAACTGCTTCAACGCCTTGGCCTGGTGGACTTGCAGGAGGGCCATGGTGTGCAGGGCGGAAGCGGCCTGTCCAGCAGCACTGTAAGCCTTAGCCGTCAGAGCGGACGAGAACTTACAGGCCCTGGACGGAAGGCGTGGACTACCTCTCCAGGGGGCAGCGCTTTGCGGGCAGAGCTGCATGGCAATAGCGCGCTCGACTGGGGGATGTCCACATACACTTGGGCCGCCCCACCATCGAGGGTAGTGAGGACGGAGGAGGCACCAAGTCTGTTTCGGGCAGAAAAAGGTGCCTTCCAAGACTTAGTAACCTCCTCATGCACTTCCGGGAAGAATGGAACCGGAGGCGGCTGCCGGCGCCCGGCCTGCGCCCCCAGGAACCAATCATCCAGCCTCAAGC